TGAATGTGGTTAGCTAGGTTGTTAGTAGTAAATGCTTGTAAAACTGTATTAATAGCTTGCTGGTGTACTTCTTGTAATCATCCGTTTCTTGAATGAATACACTCATGTTTTGTTAAAGAGGTAGTAACTCAACATGGTATCAATCGATGGTAGTTCTGGGTGAATTCTAGAAGTTTTTTCGCTGCTTGCTTCATTCTTGTTGCCTTGTTCTTACTATGGATCTTGCGATTGGATGTGCAAAAAGTTTCTCAAACAAGAAGGTAAACATTATTATTGATGAGACAAACTTTTTGCTATGGAAGCAGCAGATCTTGTTGACGATTCAAAGTCATCGTCTTGAACGACTCTTGACCGGAGCCATGTTGCCTCCACCAGAAACTGTGATGGATGATGATGGTGATGAACGACTTAATGAAAGCTATGAAGAATTTGTTGCATAAGATAGTGTTGTTGCTTCTTGGTTGTTATCGAGCATCAGCCCTCATCTTCTTCCTCAATTCGTGGGAGAAGAAATTGTTGTGGTCATTTGGAGAACAGTACTGCAATTATTTGCAAACAGGTCCACAACAACATTAATGAACCTTTACTACAAACATCACTTGTTGAAGAAAGGCAGTGATAGCATGCGCACATATCTTACACGGGTGAAAGAGGTGCGTGATGCACTTGCTTCTTGTGGGAGTGCAACTTTTCATGTTGAGCATATTGTTACAATTTTGAAAGGTTTACCACGTGAATACCAGTCAATCATGGCGGTTATAACAACCATGAAGGAAACGTTGTCACTAGATAGCATTTACACGATGTTAATGGATGTTGAGTCACAGTTAGCTAGATTTGATGAATAAATTGATTTGTTGCCGGTTAGTGCAAATCTTGCTCAGGGCAGTATGGGTCGTAGGTCTTACAATACTCACAATCGTCAAGATTCTAGGTCAAATCGTTCTGCTAATGGACCTGGTATGAGGAACAGTGGAAGGGGGCATGGGCAAACTAGGTTGTAGTGTCAGCTCTGTGGCAAACTTGGCCACCTAGTTGATCGATGTTGGCATCGATATGATGAAGAATTCACTTGTGTGACATCTGACAGTTATGGTTCATCCAAAGAAAGCCCAGCGAATATGCGTTATACTTCTGGGAAAAGAAGTCAAAGTTGTGAATGTTGCTCTAAAGGATGTTTGGATGCTTCTTCTAATACTCAATCACATGCAAATGTGATTACTGCAGCTGTTGATCGATGGGTGGTGGACTCTGGTGCCACACATCATGTCACCCCTGATGCATCTAATATGGTGAATCAATCTGAATTCCTTGGACCAGGTAAATTTATTGTAGGTAAGATGGAGGGCAAGTGTTCTTCGGAATGAGTGGGCGTACAGGGCACGTAGGCGGATAAGGTAAAACTGCCCTGGCCAATGAAATTTGTAGAGATAATCAAGTCCGAAGTAAGTTTTTTTTTCCTTGATGTAAAGAGTTGATCAAATGAAGTTTTTGTCGATTCTTCTGATCGGTAATGCCCGATTATGGTCGAACTAACTGCTTCTGTTTTCATATTTTAAGGTTACTTCCACGACAGAATTTTGTTGTTTACTATATCACAATCACCGGATGTCCAGCAGCTGAGAGCAAGAATATGGGGATCTCTTACAGGAAACGAGACCATTAGTTACACCAATAACCTGTCTGTGAGTGGGGGGAAGTGGACCACGAACTATATTACAATTTTCATTAAATTTAAATATATTGATAAATGCTGGCATCCTATTTTTAATTTTGAAAATACAATATATGCTTTCCAATTCTATTCAATTTAGACTAAATGAGCAGTGACTTGCTTGACAAGGTATGCGAGGAATTTGCATTTTTTTCACCTTTGAATAATATGTTTTGGGTGATTTTCAACAATTTGTTGCACTTAGACACGATAAGATCATATCATGATCTTCAATGCATAACCATATAATGCATTTTTTTTAAAGTAACTAATTTTATTTTAAATAGGAAATATCCCAAATCACAATAACGATTTATAATCACAATCGTAAATTAAGCACATAATTAGAAAATTTTCCTATAATCGTTGAAACAAAACTAGCAACTTAAGATCACATAAGGATCATACAAAGAAAGAATAAATCTAATATGTCGTAACCGTCTTTTGGTTAGGCCCCGGAATTGGGTTTCGACTTAAAAAATGTGGATTGGGAGTCGCCACCGATCATTTATTTAAAACAAATGGGTTGATCGGATACCCTATTTCTTATCTGATCTGCGTCTTTCCAAAGATGTGTCGGGTTCGGGAGTCGGTTACGGTCAAGGAAGGATTAGCACCCTTGAACTGCCCTTTCGGTACTACGTAATTTCCAGTTGTCTTTGATTAAGAAAATTGCAAGTTAAATTAAAAGGTAAAATTTGATCTGAATTACTTACCCTTAATGAGTTTACGGAAATACCCTTAAAAAATTAAAATAAGATGTTAAAAGAAAATAATAATAATAAAAGAAAGTAACAAAACTAAAGAGTAAACCAAGGAAATAAATGAAACCAATAATAATAAACATAAAATAATTGGATGAAACAAATATTTTAAAAAAATGAAATTGAATAAAAAAATAAATGAAGAAAAAAATAATATATATACAAAAAAGAATAAAAAAGGTAAAGTGTTTTTTAAAAAAAGAAAAATAATAATAAGAGCAAAGAAACTAAAAACATAATGAAAATAAATAAATAGTATAAATAAAATAATAAAATAAAATAAATATATAAAAATATAAAAAATGTATGTATAATAAAATAAAATACTAAATAGTAACAATAATAATAAATAAATGAAAAATAAATATACATATAATATTAACTAAAAAAATAGTAATCATAGAAATATAAAATAAAATAGAGTAAGAATATATATATATATATATATATATATAATGTTAGGAAAATATAGTAAAAAAAACATAGTAAATAAGTAAATATAGATAAAAAATAATAATATAATATATATATATATATATAATAATAGAAAAATAATATAATATAACACAAAGAAAAATGAAAAAAAATTATAATAAATAAATAAATAAAATATAATTATATATATATATAATATATATATATATATATAATAAGGGTTAAATTAAAATAAAAAATGAATTAGGAGTCAAAATTAAAAGTCAATCGAAGAAAAAAACGACAAAACACGCGGATCCATACGACCCGTTTATAAAAATCTGAATAGTTTTTCAAAAACACAAGCCTCAGGGACTAGATCTACATAAATAGATCTCGAAAACGCCCCCGTTCATCGGCCAAAAACACTTCTCTCAGTTTTCTTTCGAATCAAAATACAGAAAGGGTAAGAAAAAATAACATGCGAATGTATGAACTTTACCTTTCAAAATATAAATGCTTCGAAAAATGGCTACGAGTTGCTTGTAATTTTTTGTTTGGTATTTCGTATATCCTCTTTCGAATGTGTTACAATAGTGAGTTACAATGACTATTTATAATGCTTGTGGATCCTATCTTTAGGAGTTTAAATAATAGTAGAACTCTATCCTATTTTTAGGAGTTTGAATCCTAGCAAAATTCTATCATATTTTTAGGAGTTTGAATCCTAGTAGGACGAAAAGGTGTGTTGATATAATAATTACAAACAAAGATAATAATTACAAATGGATCTGATCGCATCGGCAAATGAATCACAAAAGGGGGTCAAGCTATTGAAAGACCATCGATAAACCGCAAATCAGGCTCGAGCGACGTGAAAAGCTATCCATGAATGCAAATCGGGTATCAAAATCTAATATGAGGGTCCAAAGCAGAGAAGATCAACAAGATATTATATAAACGCCATCTTAATCAGTCGTGACGATGTCAAATCAACACTTAGAAAAAAGATAAATGAAAAACCGACCAAAGAATCGAAAAACATGCCAAAAGCATAAGAAAATGTGCTATAAAAACATATGAAAATGTGAAACACACGCAGACTTATTGAAAATAAAAAAAATAGATGATATAAAGAAGAAAAAGACATTAGAGAATACCAGCGGACAGCAACTAACATTAAAGTTGGTGTACCGCAGTCAACGAAACTGAAAAAGAAAATAGATAAACGGCACATCAGTGATAAAAAATAGGTTTTATGAAAAGAAGGTTATTTATATTAGCCATATAATGAGTTCTAAATCCAAATGCCTAAAAAATACATCCATTGCATTAAATAAAATAAGGAAGAAAGACAAAATAAACCAGTAAAAAGTGACCAATTAAAAGGCAATACATATATAGTACCAATCAAGGTTTTAAATAGCGTTCGCGGTCACATTTTCGGTCGCGTCACGTTTATCACGGTTGCGGACATAACATATGTCATTGCAGGTATCGCGATCGTGAATTTTGTTAAATGTCGCACAACTTACCTTAAAATGAATAAATTAAATAAAATTAAGATAAAATTGTAAAATTTAAATTACATAAATTTATATTACTGAAATTAAGACTAAATTAAATAAAAATTAAAGTTTACATTTTAAACTATGGATTAAATTATAAATTCTAAAAGTTAGAGAGGTGTCAAATTAATATATCCTTTAAAATTATATTTTAAAAATTATTAAAAAAAAAATAAAACAACCCCCTCCCCTGACCTTTCTGCCTCCCCCTTCCTCCCCCCAATTATCTGAAACCAAAAAAAATTTATGCTTTGACTCTCAACTCCCCCGACCTTTCATTTTTTGAAACAAAAAAAAAATTGCGGATGGAAATTGAAATCACGGTTAGAATAATGCTTATAGCGCCTTGTGATCTGCGTAATTCACCGTTACCCGTTAAATTGTGGGCGTGACATACTACTATTGGTGTGAATCCGATCCCCACCGCAAAAATCATGAAAACCGATTTCGGACGGCGGCGCTACCGCAATATCATGGCCGCTATCGCGTTCTCGGTCCGTAATTTGAACCCTAGTACCAATAGCATGAGAGAGGCACACAACAGATATCAGGCATATATTTATACAATAAAAGGCAATACATCTATAATAGTACATCCCCTAATGTAAATGTTTAACTCATATTCAGTGCTTTTATAAAAGTAGATAACATAAAAACACTAGTGGGAAATTGCAAGCAGAGCTTGTGATTGCTTCTCATAGCGGAAACCATTTTTCTTTGAGTCATCTGCAGACCAAATGAATATACCATGGAGTTTGTTCTGACTCTTGAGCCTATTGCAGGCGGTAAAGAAGCCGTTTTCCGGTGTCAAGCCACCGCTCCCATCGCTTATAAAGCTGGCTAAAACGTTACCACCGTTGTAGTTAGAACTTTGGGTGTTGAAGTAATTGATAAACTGAGAGACTGTTGTTCCTTGATCGTAGGCATAGAACTGGAAATTGACGTAGTCTATGAGGTCACCATAGCTTTTCCACAAGGCCTTGTAATGGCTTTGAACATCATCGTCATCAAATGGAGCTATGGAAGCAAAAGAGATTAGACCGTTCTTCTTGAGGGTTTTTACAAGTTGGCCAATGCACTCTGCGAAAGTGTCAGGGTCAGCATTGAAGTGCTCATAGTCAATATCAATCCCATCCAAGTTGTATTGTCGGATGATATCAGTGAGTGAAGAAACTGCATTGGAAACCCAAGAATCTACAGAGGAAGGGTTGAAATAAGCAGAGCCATCTCCCACACTGTCCCCTCCCAAGCTCAAAGCTACTTTAACATTTGAATGGCTGCTCTTGATGGAAGAAACCTGGGATGGACCGAGGTTATCGGAGTCCCAAAACACATTGAACTTCCCATTTGTAGGAGAAGGAGAGCTTGAGGTGTCGTAGTCTATGGCAAATGAGAGAATGAAGTGGAACTCAACATTTGAATTAATGGGAACATCACTGAATTTAACATTATTGAATTCAGCTCCTATGTATTCTCGGAAGAGGTTCGAATTTGAAGGAGCTGCTTGGGTTGACGTGTTGCAAGGAAACAGAATTTGAAAAATGAAAAGGACAATGAAAAGCTTAGAAAACTCCATTGGTTAAGAACAAGGTGATTAGTGCCGTGATGTAGGCTGAGTTGAAGCATTACTCTCGTATAGAGCTTATTATATAGGCATCAGAATTGGGGGAAAAAAGGTTTAACGATATGGGGATCAAAATCAAAGAAATTGTTTGTTTTATGTTGCTGTTGCCGTAAAAAAGACTCTGGGGTCTTCAATCAGAACAAATAGGCTACTATTTTGGCCCCGGCGATCTCTCACAAGATACCAGTAAAATAAATGATTAGCAAGGCTTCTTAATTGAAAAGTCAAAGAGGTAATAATTAAGCATCTAGACGAACAGTGACTTGCCTGACAAGGCAGGTGAGAGGAATTTGCAAATTTTTTACCTTGTTTTGCGGCATGGATTTGCTAGTTAAGCCAAGAACTAATTCATCTTCTAGACCAACTGTGACTTGTCTGACAAGGCAGGTGAGAGGAATTTGCAAATTTTTTACCTTTGAATATTATGTTTTGTGTGATTTTCAGCACCTTGTTGCTCTTAGGTACGATAAGACAATTACATGATCTTCAATGCATAATCATATAATTAGTTCCAAATCCGAAAGCTAAAAAAATACATCCACATTATTATATTTTATAAGGAAGAAAGACAAAATAAACCAGTAAAACCGATCAATTTTTATATACCAAACAAATGTAAACTATGTTTCAAAGCACATCAAAGATGCTGGCTTGAATCAGTTCCCCAGCACAAAATATTGTCTTTGGCTGTAAAATTCATGTTTTAACAGCAGAATCTCATGCAAACTACCAAACCCCACAGCTATTATACTACCATTCTAACATTTGCTATGCTTCGATGACAATTAGGAAAACCTTATAAAGTTCCAAACTAAAAATGGAAGCTAAAATGAAAGAGGAAAACCAGCAGCAGTTGTTTTTCCCGTATAAACTAAGTACTTAGTGAACTTTTACTTCAATTCTTCTTTTGGGTTTCCTCTGCTGGCGGATTCTCATTGACCCGCTGGTGTGAGTCAGCATAAACCATCTGAGTTCCGTTCCAATACAGCAACTGGTCCCTGCAAGCCGCCATTTTCATTTTTGTAGCATTGTTTCGAAAAGGAGCAGCTTACAAACTCAGCATAGTCGACCTTCTAATCGGCATCAAAGGGCGGGGCTGTGGAGGGCCAACCACAGGATGAAGAAAACTAAATAAAGGACAAAAAGAAATGTCAATCTTATTTAATTCGAATTTAGAATTGAATCAAGTTTTCGAGTTGGAAGTCATGATACTGCCAAGGTGACTGCTGCATACATTGCAAAGCATGGTCATGGATGTCATAGGATAGGAATGAAAAGAGAAACTAGACTGTCCCAGTCCCCACGAACGCCCGCATGGTTGAAATCCATAAAACAATGGGACAATCGAAAATTCGAGCCTCACATTGACACTTCATATCAATCAAACACAAATATTACGGCATAAAGTCCAGTAGTAAAAGAAACATAATCAAGTAAACTGTAAAAGATCTTACGGATGGTTGCAATAAATTCGAACCCTGTCACCTGACTGAAAATTTGATTTAAAGTAGAAATAGTAAGCAAAAAGATGTTAACAGAAGCAAAAGATACGAGAGATATAGAGTTATTACAGTTGAGACTTCAATGATATCGTCCACAGGGAGGACATGGTTATGGCAAGAACGGCACAAGTAGAAACGAGTTTGAGCATTCATGGCAGGGGAGGATGCACTAAGCCCCCTACGGGTCAAGTGCATCCCATTATTTAATAAAAAAGTGAAATTTAGTATAATATGTTAAATAAAAATGGAAGAATTTTTTTTTTTTGCATCCCATTATTTTTAAGAAAAAAAAATTAAAATTTTGGACCCCATTTATAAATTTATGAATCCGCTACTGATTCATGGGAAATGCTATGGCGTTATTCTCCATCCTAATCTTGGGGTTGATGAAAGATTGCAGTTTAGTCCTAGAAACCACCCAAATTGAGAGTGATACGGTAGATGGAGAGAAAAAGAAAACAGAGGTTCTTGATTGTAAGTTATTTGCAGTTATGAACTTGTGAAAAGAAAAAAAAGGTTTAACAAAGAGAAGTAATTGGGAGAGAGATTAGAATGCTTGAATGGGTTTTATATATACAAAACGAAAGCATATAAGGTCATTTTTTTGTTACAAGGGCCGCGCGGAAAACTCAACGAGAACTTAAAAGCATTTATATATGATGGATATGTCTAGAAATCATGTATGACAACCATTTGGTTACCACATTTTTCTTTATTTAGGCTATAAATCACGTGGGATGAGAGAGAAAAATTAGTCCAAAGACTTCTCCAGCTTTCTTCTTCCTCTCCACCATGGGTCTTGGTATAAGGTGAGATTTCTTATTAGTTAGGTTTTAGTTGAAATTAAGTTTGGTTTTTTATCATTAGATGATACTTAAGATTAAGGAAAGCTTAAGTTATCTTAAAACTATAAGATGGAAAAGATAATAGGGATCAAAGATTATGAGTTTTTAAGTGAAATCTTGAAGAAGAGTTGAAAAGTTAAATTTGAAGCTAAATTTGACTTGTCATCAGTTGAATTAAGAAATAGGAAGTGATAGAATCCAATTTAGAGCATGTTGAGAAAATGGTAAGTTTCTTGGTTTCCAAATTTAAGATGGAATATGGGATATTAAGTTGAGTTCAAGTGATATAAGTGGGCTATGCTAAGTGTAGTTAAGTTTGAAGGGCTAAAATGAGATTATATAAGAAGAATTAAGTGAGTTTAGTATAATTTTCGAGCTTAAAAGTGAATTTTGGGCAAAGGGGTATCGGTACCCATTCAACAGGTATCGATGCTGTTGAAAACATTTTGATGTTTCAATATAACAAATTAAGTATAAATGAATTTTAAGATTTTACAAATGATTTTCTAAGTATATTCGATTTAATTACTCGAATATCAAATTATTACTCCAAGTCTTCAAGATCAATTTCAAACCTTACTAAATGTGTACAATTATGTTTTATACTTAATATATTTTTTAAACAATTTTCACAAAGTATTTTGAACCAAAACCAAGCCTAAAATCAATTTTTCAAAGTGATGCACCGATGCACCAATCCATGCATCGATGCACCATGGAATAAATTGAACATCGAATGCATTTCATGCATCGATGCACTCAGAGTTTTATGAAATCATCGAATGAATTTGATGCATCGATGCACCAGCCATGCATCGATGCACTCTGGCTATTTTGAAACATCGAATGCATTTCATGCATCGATGCACTCTTAGTGCACCGATGCACTAAGGGTCCAACGGTCAAAATATTTGAATTTTACACTTGATGCACCGATGCACCTTGAATTTTACATTTGAATTTTACACATGTCGAAACATTGATTTATGGATGTCTTCTTAGTAACCTTTTTATCAAACTCGGTCTAAACGTCTCTCTCGACAATCTTATCCCACTCCAAAATCAAATCAATCTTACCTCCTTGAAGAAAGCGGATTGGAAACAAGACGAGGAAACCGGTCTTTGGGTTTTTCGACCCGGGAGCTAGTTCTTCAAGAGCTGCTCCTAGCTCTTCTCGTGCTCCTCTTCCTCCGGCACCGGCTGCTGACGATGATCCCGAGTTTCAACAACTTATGCAAGATATCGACAATCATGTACCAGATGATGAGCCTGCACCGGAACCAGCACGATAAGAAGATCAAACGCCACCCTTTTTTTCAATCTTTCTTGGAGTCGTTTGATCTGAGGTTTGCCTCCATGGAGTCTCAGGTTACTGAGTTTCAGCGGGAGATGCGTGAACGTATGGACGCTCTCACTCTTGAAGTTCGAGCTCATTATCCTCCTCCTCCCGATCCTCCGATGGAGTGAATTTGTTTCCTTGTTATGTTTTCTTGGATTTTTAAACTTGGATTGATTTTGATGTTTCTGGATGTTTAAATTTGATGGTTGTTGGATGTTTTGAACTTATTTGTTGTTTTATGGATTTTTGAACTTAATATTTATATATATTTGGTTTGATTTTAACTTTATTATTTTGAGCTTAATGTTTCTTAATTTTTGCATCATATTAGTTCATTATGACCAATTATGCCATTTCACATTTGATTATGAATATTGATTATGAAACTAATGGTTAATCTCTCTTTTGATCTTTGATCTTAGCAGCTTAAGCTATTTATATATATCAATTGGCTATGTTTTTCAAAACCTTGTTTAAATCGATTTTTAAATCTTTTTGATTTAACAAATGGGGGGAGAAATGTTAAAAGTGTTAAAATGTTTTAAAGGGGAGAAGTGTTATAGTAAGGGGGAGTAATTTCAAACTTAATTTTTTTTTAATTTTTTTTTCAAAGAAAATCTTAAAATTACACACATGTTTTGTTATATCAAAAAGGGGGAGATTGTTGAAAACATCTTGATGTTACGATATAACAAATTAAGTATAAATGAATTTTAAGATTTTACAAATGATTTTCTAAGTATATTCGATTTAATTACTTGAATATCAAATTATTACTCCAAGTCTTCAAGATCAATTTCAAACCTTACTAAATGTGTAAAATTGTGTTTTATACTTAATATATTTTTTAAACAATTTTCACAAAGTATTTTGAACCAAAATCAAGCCTAAAATCAATTTTTCAAAGTGATGCACCGATGCACCAATCCATGCATCGATGCACCATGGAATAAATTGAATATCGAATGTATTTCATGCATCGATGCACTCAGAGTTTTACGAAAACATCGAATGCATTTGATGCCTCGATGCACTCTGGCTATTTTGAAACATCGAATGCATTTCATGCATCGATGCACTAAGGGTCCAACGGTCAAAATATTTGAATTTTACACTTGATGCACCGATGCACCTTGGGTATGCATCGATGCACTGACGCTCCCAACTGATTTTATTAATTGTCTTCACACTTAAACGGCTCTATTGACTCCACTAATCATCCCCAACGTTCAGAATCATTTGAAGTTATATTTAAACAAGCTTAGA